TGAGCGAGCTGTGACCTGCAGTCAGAAATACACAGTTCCGGAAGAACAGAAAGGAAAAGCAGAATTGTCATTCATGTGTGAAGGCACCCGAAAACCTCAGCTACGGAAGTTGTTTAAAAATGAACCCCTCCTGAGGACTCTTCTTGAATACATTGCTTGAAGATGGGTGCAAGGACCCCAGGGATGAAGTCAGATGCAAAAACTCAAGAAGGAGGAGAAATCCAGCTTGAAGGACCTGAGAGGAGGCTTAGGGGAGAGAAACTTCCTCAATTCTCAAAAGACTGTGAGTTGCTGGCACCTTTTTTGCAGGCTTCTGGGAACGTCTTTTAAAACTGAAATGTACGCTCACACGTCCCTCTCAGAGATACATCATGGGAAAAGCAGGACACCGGTACACCAGGCTCCGCGGACTAAGCTGACTCTTGCAGCAGTCCCTGCTGTGTCAAAAGAGCCAGCAAGGGCCCATGTGGCCAGTGACAGGATCACGGTGTAGTAAATCCGGCGCATTATATTAACATCATAAACATCACGCACGTAGCTATCTGAAAGAAATTACCTCTGTATAGATTAACCCAGAGTAAAGTCTGATAAAATGAAACTGGAAAAATGTCCGTGATGAAATGATGACCTTTTTGTTTGTTTGTTTTGTTTGTTTGAGACAAGGTCTCACTATGTAGTCCAGGCTGGACTTAAACTCACTATGTAGCCCAGACTGGCCACAAGCTTGTGACATTCCTGTTGCCTCGGCCTCCTGAGTGCTGGGATGACAGGCATGCACCACCACGCCAGGCTCACCTTTAAGTATTCAGAATCAAACTCAGGACCTCTCGCTTGCCAGGCAGGCGCTGCACCACTGAGCTACAACCCTGGCCCTCACCTCTATGGGTTTTTTTGGTTTTGGTACCAGGGATCAAACTCGGGTCCTTGCGCTTGTGCAGCAGGCAGCGAAACCACTGAGCTAAATCCCCGGCCCTTCACCTCTATGTTTTAAAGAAGCAGGACCATACAGAAATTTTCTAGATACTTCCTTTTTCTAGTTTTTTTTTTTTCCTTCCAGTGCTGAGGATTGAATTTAGGGCCTTATCCTTATGCATGGTAGGCAACCATTCTGCCACTGAGCTATAGCAATACCACCCGCTACTCCACACCTTTTTCTTTTAATCTTGTCTTGCAACAGAGTCTATATACATTTTAGGATCCAATCTATGCAGGGCTCATGCAGTGTCCACGCAGGGCCCATGTACCCCTGAGCCAATGGGCTGTCTGATCATGCCCTGGGGAGACCCCAGACAGCCGGGGACACCCGTCAGATGTTTCTATAGGATCCCTGTAGGGTCCATCTGGGCCCGCTGTCCTTACTGCCTAATTGAATCCTAACTCCCATGTCACTAATTCCTGTCTCGAAGCTATTTCTTTTTTTTCATACCAGGGATCGAACTCAGGACCCTGCGCTTGCAAGGCAGGCCCAGTGCCACTGAGCTAAACCCCCAGCCCTCAAAGCTATTTCTTCATTTATCTCTTTGAGCACTGTCATTTTCAAGCTGCTGCCAGAGGAGCCCTCCAATGAACTTCACCTGTAGTGAGTTGACACTTCAGTGGCTGAGCTGGTTGGCTGTCATTTTTAACATTCTGTTTCTTCATGGGTTTTGGAATTGTGGTTTGGAAGTGGCTCATTGAGCTGGGAGTTTTTGTTTCCCTTTGTGTCTTGTTGTGGTTTTTTTTTGGTACCGAGGATCAAACTCGGGACCTTGCGCTTTTGAGGCAGGCGGCAGAACCACTGAGCTAAATCCCTGGCCCTGTGTCTTGTATTTTCACTCCCTTCTTTTTGTTAGGTGGATATAGTTTTATGGTTGCACCAGGTGTGGTAGCACATGCCTGAAATCCCAGCACTAGGGAGGCTGAGGCAGGAGGATCGCTGTGAGTTCAAACTCAGCCTGGGCTACATAGTGAGACCCTGTCTCAAAAAAAACAAACAAAACTCTACACTTAGTGTGGTGGCGCATGCCTGTGATTCTAACATTCTGAGAGGCTGAGGCACAAAGATCAAAACCTCAACCCCAGCCTGGGCAATTTAGTTACTTTAGTAAGCTCTGTCTCAAAGTAAAAAATAAAAAGGACTGAGGATGGAGCTCAGTGGGAAGGCCCTGGATTGAATCCCTAGTATGGAAAAAAAAAAATCAAACTAGACACTAATAATAGAATGACTAGAACTATGTGCTCAATAAGACTCCTGTGCCTCTTCTTCCTATCACATACAAAACAAATTTCGATGGGATTAAAGATTTAAATGTAAAAACTGCAAAATAAAAATTGTAGGAGAAAATGAAAGCGGCCATAAACATCATCAAGGATTAGAGAGATCTATTAAAAACCCCTGAAAGAGCCAGGTGTGGGCATACATGCCTGTAATCTCAGCATTCAGAAGGCTGAGGCAGGAGGATCGCTGAAAGTTTGAGGCCAGCCTGGGCTACATAGCAAGACCTCACCTCAAAAAAAGAAAAAAGGATTGAATTTGATTACAAAAAAAAAGTTTAAAAATTTAGACTTAAAAAATCAAAGTACTAGGGGCTGGAGATGTAACTCAGTGGCACTGCACCTGCCTAGTAAATACAAGGTCCTGAGTACAATCCTCAGTACCAAAAAAAAAAAAAAAAAAATCAAAGTACTGGGCCAGGGATGTAACCCAGTGGCACTGTGCCTGCCTGGCAAGCTCAAGGTCCTGAGTTCAATCCCTGGTCCCGGAAAAAAAAAAATCAAAATACTAGCCTGGCATGGTAGTGCATACCTATAGTCCTAGCTCTCGGGAGGCAGAAGCAGGAGAATCACCATGAGTTCGAGGCCAGCCTGGGCTACATAGGCTACATAGTGAGTTCAAGACTGGCCTGAATTACAAAGGGAGATCTTCTCTAAAAAAAAAAAAAGTCAAACTGCAATGATAAATTGAGGAAAATTTAATGTTTTAAATGGATTTATA